ATTTCTCTATTTTCTCTATTTATTTATAAATGTATAAATATATTTAACCATTTAGATTATTATTTATATTTATATTTCTAAAATTTACATTTAATATGTGACATAAATCTTCATAAATTATGTTTATTTAGCTACATATCTCGATTTATTTATCCATATTATCTTTTTCATCGATTTTATTTAGTTTATCAATTTCATTAAAATTTAAATAGTTAACTCGATTGTACAAACATACATAACCACAAAAAAAAATGAAAAGAAAATGATGTTGATGATGTAATTAAGAGAGCAAAGATTTTATGAGAACTTGAAACGATTTGAATATGCATTGAACTCACCGACTCGGGGCGATGATAAGGATCCACTATAATTTATACAAATCAATACAAATTATGAGCCGCCAACAACAAGAAAATATTTATTGAGTTTTTGGGCACTCGTTAAATTGAAAAGAAAACACAGAGGACGTGTTTAAAGTCGTAAACTTGTGGTTCAATTAATGCAGTTAATGTTATTGTATTATATGATTAAGTATTAAACATCATAATGCTTGAAGCACTGGCTTTTATTGCCATTAGTCGCACCACCGACCCGGCCAGCGATAATACCTCCGACTGTCGATATCGAGCTGTACGACATTATTTACGAGTCTTTGGTTGAATCACGCACGAGAAGCTCTAGGAATAATAGCAGCTCCAGGAATGTTCGATCAAAGGTATATATGTGTGTGTATCTGTGCTTGTGTGTATGTAAGGGTGATCGCTTGGATTCGCTGGGACTCGAAATTTGGGATTAATACTGGCGCTCACGCACACATAGACACCAAATGGCAAGGGCCAACAGAAGACGAGACACTGAAATTCGAAATCCGCGACGCGCATGCGAGATAACGACTCCGAAATTGTTAGAGAGCAACTAACACTAAAAAAATTAAATTCAATATTTTTTTCGGTTTAGACAAAAACTGAACTGAAACGAAAACCGAAAGCTGGCGAACCGAATGCGAACGCGAATGCCGCGAGAGCGAGCGCTGAGCGTCAAGAGTCGAGCGTCAAGCGTCGAACGTCGAGAGCCAGACCAGAGACGGTCGAGCTCTCACGTCGAGTTATGGCAAAGATCTCACCGGGTCGCAAGGCGGAAGGGGAGGGAAGGCACACAAAACATTTTTACATAGTGTTATTTTGGTTTTATTGCTCTGCTGATGGACGAGCGAACGGGGGCCATGGGGGCTACAGCAGAGACTGGAACTGGGCCGGGGGCTGGGGCTGGGGCTGGGGCTGGGGCTGGGGCGGAGAGCGACTGAATGACGAGCGAACAAGTGTACATTCAAATGCGAGCGCGCGATCTTGCGATCTCTGCTCTAGACATGCGGGCGGAGTGCCAAGGGAAACCGAATTCGGTTCGTTTTAACTTAAAGCACGCCGACAAAGTACACGAAATACACACATACATACACACACACATATATATATATATATATATATATATATA